TGATATGCTGATAAGTGAATTGACTGCTGGTATGTGGACTGACTGCTGATGTGTGGATGAATTGCGTACATATGTGGATTAAATACACACCCACGTACACATACATACAATCAACAACAATACATACAACAACAATACACACAACAACTACATACATACAACAACAATACATACAATATTATGTAGACTAATTGCCCAGATATGCGCAATAGTTACACACACGTGCCAATCGAATGCGCAAACGTGCGCATTAACTGCGAGCGCGTGGACCACCGGTTGATAACGTACGCGTTTCCGTCCCGAGCAGGCCCTGTTGAAGAAGCACGAGGCGCTCATGTCGGACCTGGAAGCGTTCAGCAGCAGCATTGACGCGCTGCGTGAGCAGGCGCAGGCCTGCAAGGAGGCGCCCGTCATCGACGAGACGGGCAAGGAGTGCGTCGTCGCGCTCTACGACTACACGGAGAAGAGCCCGCGCGAGGTCTCCATGAAGAAGGGCGACGTGCTCACTCTGCTCAACAGCAACAACAAGGTATGCAGTGCCTGAAATGAACGGTCGCCCACTCGCCACAGGCGACCAATGTCTAGCTCGGGCGACCGGAAATTGCACAAAGTCAAGTAGTCACTGGCCCCCCAAAAAAAGCTTGGGCGACTGCCAATATTTCAACAAATAAACAAATTTACTGATATGTTTGAGTTGTTCTTTGTTTACTAACTAATCATAATCCTAAACCGCAGTCCACGGTAGGATATAATCAGACCACACTCGTGCATTTTCGTTTCGACCGAGCTTGCTGATGGCGGGGTAGACTGGTACTCTTCGACTCTCCCGCTACACTGACATCTGGCATAGCAACGGCGAGTGGGTACCGGTCTAGCGCCGAAAACCAGTGTACGGGAGTTGCGATCTGTTACGAGTAAAATTTTGGTCTCCAACACTCCATTTGGGCCAGTGACTCGAAATTTTTACTCGCCACAAAAAATCTTTTGGGCCAACCTATGGCTGGCTCTCATTTCAGGCACTGGGTATGGCCGAGTCACGCACGTGTGTAGGTGTGGCGGGTGTTTAGTCATTATAATGTATTGGTATAACAAACAATAACAAGGTAAGGCTGTGTGTGGGGGGGGGGATGTTGGGTACCTCGGTAGTCACAGCTCTTCTCTCTCGGCCTTTACCATTCATATATAATCAACATTTGAGGTCGTGTGTGTGTGTGTGTGTGTGTGTGTGTGTGTGTGTGTGTGTGTGTGTGTGTGTGTGTGTGTGTGTGTGTGTGTGTACATAATAGAGTTATATATAGAGAGAGACATAGAGCAAGAGTGAGAGAGAGACAGAGACAGAGAGAGTGAGAGAAAGAGAGAAAGTGAGACATACAGGCAGACAGTCAGGCACACAGGCAGCAGGCAGGCAGACAGACAGACAGGGAGGGAGGCAGATAGGCAGGCAGGCAGGCAGGCAGGCAGACAGACAAGCTTGTCGCGAAATAGAGGCGAACCAGATTAGGTCGCCCTTCTCAGATTCCCCATAAATTACACGTTGCGTGTGCGCTCTGTCTTCCCCTAACATAAAAAGGCATTGGCATTGTTTGGCTCGGCACCCATCCAACTTGCGCTGTGCAACTTGATTTGGTTTCCAGCGATTTTCCGGTTAGTTAGCATGCACAGCTGGTTGTGCTGTCGCCCCTGTAGGACATTAGTCGGTGAACGAAGAAAGGCGATGTCATGGACGACGAGCTAATTATAGCCAGGACGTAGTTTGTGAATGCGTGAGAGGAGAGCCCACAGCTCCTGAAGATGGTTTCGGTGGGAGGTGGTGTGCATTTCAGTCACGTATCTTCGGTGTTAGTCTGGCAGTCCAATATGCGTGATGTACGCTGTGAAATGCAGACAAACCAGATTAAGTTGCTGTTCCCAGATTCCGAAGCAGCTTTCTTTGGGATTACTCTGCCTTGACACTGGTGCAATTGAGAGTAGCATGGCTAAACCATAATTCGTTTATAAGCGGATTGCTGTGCGTCGTATTGGTATCAAGCAGTCGTTCAAGGACACGAGACATCGTACCGTAAACTTGCCATCTTCTATTACGGTCACATCGCTATCTTAGCATTGGGTATATAATATGAAGTAGTAGGATAGTAATGTCGTAAGACATCTGTGTTGGGTGTCTGCATGTGGTACTGTGTAAGGGGTTTCTGGGGTGGGTGTCTGCAGGTGGTTCTGTATACATAGTACATACCCATTCACAATCAAAACTAAGGTTAAAATTCACAATTCACAACAGCAGATATTACTTTACTTTCATGATCGAACTGTATATTTTTTACAATGACAGACATTTTTTTTCCAATTGAAACTGTAATTTATGAAATTTCGCCCCAAATATGACAGCCCCAAAACTCACAGGTTAATGTTTTTACGAAAAAAAAATTTCGGTTATTAGTCGTAACCCTGTGTGTATCTCAGGACAGCGTTGTAAGCGCACGCGTGTTCTCCTCTAGGACGTGAACGACGCATGGCAGAGACTGAAGCAGCTGTCGCTGCTCCGCCAAGAGCGGCTGTTCGGCGCGCACGAGATTCAGCGCTTCAACCGTGACGCCGACGAAACGATCGCGTGGATCAACGAGAAGGACGCCATCTTGTCGTCGGACGACGTCGGTCACGACCTCGCGAGCGTGCAGGCGCTGCAGCGTAAGCACGAGGCCATCGAGCGCGACCTCGCTGCTCTGGAGGACAAGGTGCGTGCTGCCGCCGCCGTCGCCACCGCGTCGTAGCCCTGCATACGTAGCAGATCTACATAGCTGTACATAGATAGATCTACATAGCTGTACATAGATAGACCTACATAGCTGTACATAGATAGACCTACATAGCTGTACATAGATAGAC